GAACTCAGGAACTATTGAAAAATAACATATTAAAGACACGTCATGACGTCTCATGACTGTTAGTCATGTGATGTTCATTTTCTAGCCAACTTTGTAATAAAAGCTCATTATAAACCCATCCTAAAAGCGTAGACAGCTTCTGCATATATTATTGTAGTTTGTATCATATAATTAGCGTTCAGCTAATTCAGTACATTCAAAGCAGTGTGAACCAGATGAAGTGTAGTATTAGTAGTAGGTATTAGTATTTTTATTTACTTATTTATTTATCATAACAGAAATTTGGAAAAATTCTGAACCGACTTAGAAACATAATATCGGACTCAAATATCCTCAGAATGATTTTTTTTTTTGCGATCTGCAAAGGATGGAAGCTTAGTTAGCTGCTCTCATTATTCGACTGAATGACAAGGATAGGATAAAATTTCGTTGATAGAGTAAAGACGAGAAAAAAACCAGGAGAAAAAAGGTACAATTTAAGCAGGGAGAGTGGGATTGTGAAGTCGCATTCACTAGACATTGCCAACGCGCGTGCCTCTGGTCTGATTTAGGGGAGAGTCACTTTAGTATTTTTTAGTACTATTATTTTTTGTTAAAACTATGTTGTTAGACGTCGACTTCCTTCGTCCCATACGATGTTGACAATATTTCTCCGAAATTTAAAAAAATAATTTTGTCCGAAGTATATCGTTGCTTACCAACAGCGTTTTCGGTCAAGTTTCCGAATTTTTAAAAAATTACTTCCGCGTCCTGTATGCTCAAATGTGTAATTTATATTGCAAGTAGTGTAACAGAAGTCAACTATCTTGAGTATTTCCGATGATAGAAATATCCCTTCAAACTTTTATAAATCAGCCATTTCGCCGAAATGTATCCAATTTGCGCATAAACAGCGTTTTCGGTCAAGTTACCGAATTTTTAAAAAGTAATTTCGCGTCTTGCTCGGCAAAACGTTCAACTTATATTATAAGTAGTGTGTTAGGAGGCTATTATCTCAAATTTTCGAGGCTCTAGCTAGCGTGACTGCTTCGTCCCTGAAAAAAATAAACAAATCGTTTAAAATCTCAATTATCGGAATCGCAAATTTTACAATAATGTGCGATGCGGCAGCTCTTAGATACTTTACAATTTAAATATTTCTGGCAATATTTCAATGGTCATAAATGAACATGGTGTATCAAAATCATGGGGTTACGTCAGTTTCAAGACGTGAAGTTGAAACGAAACGGCGCTAGCCTGTTGTTTAGGTAAGAAAGCGTGACTTTTTCGTATAATTCGAAACTTCAGGTGGACCGTGCCGAGGGAAGAGGTTAGAATTCCGGAAAAAGATAAAACACGGGTCCGTTTATATTATGAGAGGCATCTTTTCTGATATATCTGTCAAGCGATATCGATAAAAAGTGTTTTTCGCTCCACCCTACAGCCCCCTCCACCTTCCTAAATCCTAACTTTCCAAAAAAAATGTTCAACACCTTCCTTTCCTAATGCCTGACATTCCAAAAGATTGTTCAACACCTTTTCGAATGAAGTCATGAAGTGACCTTTTGGCTAGCTGGAGCCATTGTCACTGGGAGGGTGAGTGATCGAAGGTAATGGGGGCGGAGCGCGGAGCCCCCTGGCTGGTTGCAGAAGCGAGCTAAAGCAGCTAGTCTACTATAAATTGCACACATAAGACTTAGAGTCCCTTTATACCCAGAGTTAAGACAACTCGATTATCAGCTGACTGGCAGCCGGCCTTGGCTGGCCATGGAGGCCGAAACGAGTGCACCCAAACGAACGATATTGAGGGATAAGGATCAGGAATCCTGCGATGTCTGTCACACAAAAACAACAACATCAACAAATTGATCAATTAAAAAGAAAATGAGATTGGTTTGTGAATAATTTCTTAATCTCTTTTCATTTTGGACCGATAGAAATGACAATTTACTCTTGATAAACCACAATCAGGTGATATTTTCATTATTCTTGTTCACATTCGAGGTACCGCCATCTTGGTGCACTCGTTTCGGCCTCCATGAGCGAGGACCAATCAGAATTGGATTTTTTTTTAGGCCACTTTCAGCCGAACCAAAAGTGAGTTGTCTTAACTCTGGGTATAAAGGGACTCTAATAAGACTGAGAGCCCCATGGAATAGGCTCTTTTGGGGGACTGCAGAACCTCAAAACTTGCAATTTGAAACTTTTTAACAGATTATGACAGGAACATATTAAAATATACTTTCAAAAATTGAAACTGTTTGTATTATTTAGTAACTTAATATTTCCTTTCTAAGCAATGCTGCTTTTACAATATGCGCTGTCTTCTTAACATTGCAATTTAAAAATTCATTGAGAAAATTTTCCGGCTCCTTAAAATCCTCACCTTTAAAATGTAAAATTTAATCTCCTTTTAAATAGGATACTAAACCACAAAATGGAACACGTCCTCCTCTTTTTACAAATTACACATGTCACATAAGTTGTTGCTTGCCTTGAGCAAATATTTATTTAAATTGATCATTCCACATCCAGTTTTCATAATTACACTTATTTCCATTCTACTTAAAGCATGTAACTGTTATTAAAAGCATCGCTAAATTACAGTTATTTCACTTAAATGTGTCTTTGACTTTCTCTCAACTTGATTTGGTGTCTTTCTATGATCTTTTCCTCTACTAAATTGATAATATGCGGCACATCAACTATTTCATCAAGAACATGCTCTATTGGAATGCGTTTAAGTTTACATACATCCTGCCATCCTGCCTAGACTTTATCAAACAATGCACTGTCAAGACTTAAAATAAAATGAGACAAAGCTCGCAAAAGGTCATGGTTCATTTTTACAGATCTGATACATTGACTACCCTCCAGTTACGTGTCACCTAGAATGACATCCTCACCGTTCAGCACGTTGAACAAAAGGTTTTGAGTTATTCAAATCTCCTATGGAATTTTTTTTGTGGTTTGTGTGACCTACCTCTACCCAAAAAACCAAACATCAAAAGAAAAATTAATAATCCAAAGGATTAAGGGGCCTGTTACACGTCTTTCCCATATTTTCGCCCATCAGCTGAAGTCCACCCTTAAACCAGGGATAGGGATTTGATGTTAGAAATCCACGAATTCGCTCAAACTTAGTACACACCTTGAACACTATGGAGATTTTTTTGTCTTTTGCGTAGGTAATGCTCATGTGTGCAGAAACTTCTGGTCCAGTGGAATGGGGGAACCTATTTTAGGATGAGAAAAGTGGGGAACCCGAGGGCGGGTCGTAAAAAAGCTTTTTGTTCGATTTTGACTGTAATAGCAAAAAGCCTACATCTGCTACGCCACTCCTAAAATAAAGTATCGGGCTCTTTAAGGGATGAAAATCAAGTTGCACATTTTTTGAAAAATCTAAGTATCTAACCTGAAAGAACTCAGCGAGTGAAGGTTCTATGGGCTAAAATTTCTACCGTTTTGACGTGCGATGGAAGGGATTAATGTAAAACGACGACTTCGCCTCTTGAAACAGCCCTTTCTGCTTTGCCGACAAAGGAATTTTGAATCTCAAAAATTTGACACACTATCATGAAAGAAATCGACAAGTCGCAATCTGTTTCATAAAGATTTTGCCTCAAATCGCAAGTTAAAACTCCACGAAAGTCTCACGCGTCGGAGCCCGCGTCGATGCTCCCGGCCGCGCAACCGCCGCGCTGTTGCTGTCGGAGTCCTATGATTAGTACCGCGCCGTGGTTGCATCTTACGCGTGCTCAACGCTCACTCAGACTTGCGACCTTTCTCCTCTGAGACCACCCTCTAGCTTTTATATTAACGTTAGTCTATGATTCATTATTCAACTAATTACCCTCCCTCTTTTCCGTCGAAAATGAATTTTGCAGCTTTCATAAAACGCACACTTAGACCTGCAACCTTTCTCCTCTGAAACCACCCTCTAGCTTTTATATTAACGTTAGTCTATGATTCAACTAATTACCCTCCGTCTTTTCCCTCGAAAATGAATTTTGCAGCTTACATAAAAAAATGTGTATTATTTGAGCTCTGACCGAGTACTGGGTGATCGCCCTCTTCTTCATCAAATGCATTTTTCTTCTACTAATTCTGTCAACGTGTATTCTTTCTTTCCAAAAAAATATTTAATTTTTTTTTTTTGTAAGTTAAAATACTAAGAAAAATTTTCTTTCAAGGTAAGAGAACTGTTGAGCGAATTATTTCAAGGGAACCAAACTGCAAAGCGCGGTATTTTAGGGTTTTAGGGGAACTGAAGTGTCAAGCGTGCTACTTCGTGGGGAAAAAACAAGTTAATCAGCTTGATACGATAAAACAAAATTAACTGGAAATTGGACGAAAGCCTTACTCCCATTTTAAGTTCATTTCGCATTTTGAGGGAGTGTAACCGTCAAGCGTGCTGTTATTGGGGGAAGAAAACATTCATGCGCGTTTTTTTGGGGGTAAAAAACATTCAAGCATGCTGTCTTGAGGAACCTAAATTCTTGACTATGTTACTTTATGTGTCGAATAAAACTTTGCGAAAACTTGAAATGAGGGAACCTAAATTTATTTTGGGGGAACTCTTGGAAGTTTTTGCACCCCTGGTAACGTCCTAACGTTCCACTCAGAGGCTTTAAAAGTCAGAATGCTACCTTTTCTGAACATATAAAGAACGTTTTAAGTGCCCTTTCACTTTGGTAGTAAAAAAACTTGACCAAGGTTACATGAAAGTCCTGAATCAGTTTTTCGGCCGTTGAGTAAAGGAGGAAAAATCGGTGTTTACTTTGTAATTTTCAAGGACAAGTTCAAGTCAAGTCCAATTTTTGATGCATTACATTCCTCATTCTGAATGGAGCGAATATCGAATACAGGAATAACGTAAGAATGTTAGACCAATCCTTCTCTAAATGAAGCCAGTAATCGTCTTTCACCCTGAGTTTCTTCGATTTTGGGAGTTATTCTTTTTTTTCAAACTCCCTCTCTCTTTTTCGAAGTCTGTTTTCTTTATGTCTGTCTTTGATCAGTTTTTCAGGTGGCTGGATCGTAAAATTGAATTGCTGAAAGGCTGTTTAAAACACAACAAGAAATCAAACGGAGTTCGCGCTCTTAAAGGGCTGTTTCTAAAAGTAGAGCCTGCTGACAAGTTCGTTCGTCCACAATTCAAAGAGTTTGATGAATGGCCTTCAATAAATTTTGACTGTGACCCTAGTCTGCCTCCATTTGAAAAAAATTGTGAATCAAGGAAATTAAGGAGTGCCAATAGCAGTCAAAATGTCCAGAGGGCATCTAGGACCAGGTCAGCAATCTCACAATCCTTCAACATTAGTGCGTAGCTTTACCCAAAGTTCATGGAGAATCGCCAGTTCAGGGATCGATAATCTTAGCATCAATTTTACTAAATTTAGGATCATTTGGATTAATTCGAACAACAACCATCAATTCAGAATTAAATAAGAATTTAGAATGAATTATTATGTCTTACAGTAAGTGCTCCTCTGCGGAATGGATTTTAATGTTGGTTTTTTTTTTTTTTTTTTTTTTTTTTTTTTACATTTTTGGAAAGGAAAAAAATTAAAATTGAAGTGTGCCATTTCATTTTTTCTCAAAACGTCCTTTTCAACTGATCCTGTTGGCACCTCAGTAGAATTTCGATGCGTCAGACAAACATTTAGGCTTACGAAAGCTTTTTTTTCTGGGGCAGGCAGATTTTTCCAAGCTAAAGAGAATTTTAACACTGGGTACTGCATTGGTTTGATACTTAGGGAAAACGCGGTTGGTATCGTCGAAAATTTCTCGTAAACTGTTTTAAAGGTGTAATTTTTTAACCTTGACCAATCGCGAAGCCGCACCATGTCGTAATTTAAACTTTCTCTTCTATATATAAAATCACTATTATTCAAGGAAGTCACTCATCCTTTAACAGGTTATGGGCACAGGGTGAAATTGACAACTATATAACTACGAATAGCGCGGATAAGCCGCAATAACGACGTGAATTTATGTCAAAGTTTCGGGCTACAAAGTGCCAACTACACGGGGGACCAAGTGCCAACTGCGGGCAACTAAGTGCCAATTAATCAGACATACAGTTTAACTGATCGTTTTTGTGCTAATCTTCTGGGCAACACAGTTTTTAGCCAACGAAGTTCTCAGTGTACACAGTGACAACTGAATAAGAGAAACTAAATTTATTGAAGAAATACTGTATTTACTTGGCAAAATCGGTGTCAATCAATTTATCGCTGCGCATAAATAAGTTATTGATGTATGCCGAAAAAATTCCAATTTGAGTCCACTATTGCCACGTTATGGCCATTTTTTTTATTTTCATACTTATTTCATAAAGGCCCCAAAACGCTCCATAACTCCAAAAAATGGGGATTAAGGGAAGAAGTGCACAGAACAAAAGCACATAAACTTTGGCCGTAAACTTTCAATCCGAAGTTAAAACATACCCTACCTATTTGAAAAATGCGAGTAATGGGGGGTATCGGTACTCAGCTTAGAGTCCTCCCCCTAAATGGGGTTTCGGGAGGCTGAACATACTCTCATTGAATTCTATGGGGTCAGTTTACACCTGGAAATCTCCGTCCCGAAGCTCAATTCTTAGCTGTTTCCTAGGAAAAGATTGTGGACGGATGCTCTGTAACACCACAAGTAGCATATTGAAACAAGCAGTTTGAACTGCGCGCCAGATCAAGGTCCCACCAGTACTTCATCAATATGGCTGAATGTATCAACCTCCTTTTAATCAACCTTGCTAGCAGACGTCTGCCAAATATTAATCTCAGTTGCCCTCAACTCATCTTGCGTTTTGGTCAAAAGCCCCACTTCACAATTATGGAGCAGGATACTTTTCACGATGACTTAATAAAGTCAGTGCTTGTTCATCTTAGAAATGCTCCGATTCCAGAAAACCTTGTTTGGCATCGCAGTGGCTCTCCTCTTCTTGATAGTCATCTCTTCAATGGTGGGATTCATCTTTCCTTCCTATTCCAGCCAAACACTGACAATGAGATACTTATTCTTATCACACCCTTTGATGCCGAACTATCCTTAAGCGCAACGCTTTGCTACTGCTGTGCTGCTCCCACATCCAGCCTCTCTTACTTGGACACGCTTACATCCGTATCCATTCTCTATACTCTTCTACCAACTTCTGCATTATGTAATCTGTATCCTCTTTAGCCTGACCTGGTCATTTACAAAGTACTGAATGTGAAGTGTCTGCCCATCTAAGAATTAAACGTTTATTGAGTAGTGGAATGTCGCGCCGATCCCTGCACTTTTTCTTTTCCATCCTGTTAACTTGTACCCAGTATACTTTAATTATCTCGGCGACAAAGAAGAGTCTTGTCTCAGTCTTTTGAAGACAATGATACCTCCGAACAGTTCCCTGTATGATTCAACTTTTACCTTCAGCCCGTTATAAAATTCCCTACTGGAAATTATGCCCTTCGACAAAATATCTGAAACTAAGTCCATCAACTTTTCATTTTAACTCGGGATCATTAAAGTGGAGTCATTATAATTCCTCCAGTCATCTTTGGGGGCAGTGAATTGATCAGCAAGACGAGCGTATTGATTGAAGTTTCCAGCATAGAAGACATCTTTGTTTTTCATGCTTTGAAACCAAGAAAAAACCCTGAGAGACATCATACAGGGTGTCTCACGAAAAACGAGCCACCTTGAATATCTGCCGAACGCGTCGGAATTTCGAAAAACGGTAAAAGACGTGTTCGTTTATATCGAGGGGGACGCCTTTTGGCGTATT